AACCAGAAAAGACCAGGGGTATAGCTGGGTACAACCATGATTTTCTGGTGGGTGGTTTCAAACATGCCTTAAAGCCTTAAACATATACCTTTTAACTTGTTTTGATGATTCGAAGCGGCTATCACTGGTCAAGGAATTGAAACTATCAACCAGGAACCTGACACGAAAGCAACCAGTTCAAGTTTCTGAGCACTGGAGTGATTGGATCTATTGTTCAGCATCTCTCACAGTCTCATGTTGTCCACATTCGAAGGTAACGATGTGCGTAGTTGCATGTAGGTTGGTATGTTTTTGTCATACCAAGTACTCTCAACTTTTGCACGGAAACAATGGCAAGAACAAAGCACTTCAATAAAAACGCAAGGGTTATTGTGAAGGTTCAAAAACAACCGCAAAGATATGATGAATGAATGATGGTTATGTTTCAACGTGTTTCAACCATAATCTTCCCACTTTTCATCTTCCATCATCTTCCCACCTTTTGGAGAAACCCCAATGGCATTCCCCGGCAGGTGATGCCTTAATCGAACGGGCTGTGGCAGTGGTTGGTGAGCCTATGGCAGGTGCCGTGGCAACAGCGGGAGCGGCACAGGGAAAAATTGGGATGGGTCAAAATTCGATACCCTGGGGACTTATAGATTTAGTTGTTTTTTCCTCTTGGTTGGTATTAAACATTCATGTGTGGCCACTTATCCAGTGAGAAGTGGCAGGATACATACCTGTACATCTGAGGTTTTGCACCTGGTAATAGGTGATTGGACATCCCCTTATTCGTTGGGCTTCTAATGGTTTATAATCTTATGCAACGTGTTTAGCCTTTTTCTTAGGCCATGATCATTCTTGGACGCTCCGCATGACCTGACGAGGCGAGGATAAAGTCTTAGAGCCACATCCCACGCGTCGCGTGCTGATGCCCAGCCAATCTGCAACTGCCTCGGGACCATCGGGACTCTCCAGACCCTCCAGCACACCCAGGGATGCTCCTTGGTGAACTTTGTCGTTGAAGGGCACCAAAAAAGACTCAAAAAAGAGATCTTGATCTTGTTATGATCCTGTAAATGCAAAGCTAAATGTGTACTAGTTTGGAACATTTTGGAAACAAAACACACTGGCATGGGTATGTAGCAGGCAAGGCGAATGCACGGCTTGAACCCCAAACGCTCTAAAACTAGATGATGTTTTGCCCCAAAAAGTGTGGAACACACTGAAACTCTGGTATGATTTACTCATCACGCCATATTCCGCCATTGATTCCTTAAGATCTTCCTCTACAGACAGGATGCCACAGGCCGCAAACTTGAGGTGGGGCACCTTGCCACACCTCGCTTGTCCAGAGAAGGTCTTTTGCCACTGGCTTGCAAAAGGGAGCTATGGAGATCATGGGAGAGCATGGTTGGGATACCCTCTGGTAAACTAACATAACTAATTATGGAAAATCACAATTCTTAATGGGTAAATCCACTATAAATGGCAATTTTCAATAGCTATTTTAAATTACCAGAGGGTAGTTGGAATGATGATAATCATGATCGCGGTAACTGCTTCCCAAACTGTCCGAACTGTGGAACGGTGAATTGCAAGGTTTTTGTCCCAGATCAATGTTATGGCTTCAAATTGAGGTTTGGGATTTGTTATATAAGGTGATTGATCTAAATCTTGAGGGAAGTGAAGCCACTAATCAAAATGGCATTAGATTTGGTTTGGGACTTGTGATGGATTTATCGTGCGAGTTGATGTGAGGCATGGATGTGCATGCCTTGTTGCACAGAAAACCGGCATAAACCAGCCAACATGCACATGCTTTGAATCTGTTGGTATCTTTGTCCAAGGTATACATATTTATGTTCTTATTTATCGCTATTATTTATTATGATTTGTTATATCTTATTTATTATATCTTATTTATTATGATGCATCATGATGCATCTATGTTATTCCTATTTTCCCAAAGGTTCTCTACCATTTTCCCCATCTTCGCAGGACCGTAGCTGGACCCCCAGCTTTCCCCCCTGCAGGCAGCCGAAGAGTTCGGTGCATCCCGTGCTTCCCAGCTCGATGATGCACACGCCTACAGCTCAGAGTACCTCGGTGTTTTTTGGGTGGATTTATATAATGGGATTTAATGGTGGTTTATATGGTTTAATAGGGGTAATCATGGGAGACTAATGGGGAAATATGGATTTACCCTCTGGTAATTTGTTAATTGAAAATTGCACATTTATACTTGATGGTACTCTGTAGATGGATTCAGTGAGATGGATTTATATAGATGGTAGCTTGCATCCACTAAATTCTCCAAGTGAAAGAGAATCCTAAGGAGCTATCAGCTGAGCTATCCTGAAAATAAGATTAGCATTTCACAACCATGGCGTTGTGGCCACCGATGGCCACCGACACTATATCCTCATCCCAGGTGCCACATCAATTTCTTGGGCCCGCGATTCGCGCGATCTTCGATCTCACGGGGTTTCTCGGTATCGAGTCATCCGGCCAAAATCGCTTGATACATGTCACAACTTGGCAAAATATAAGCAGAACAAGTTCAAGGAAACAATGCCCAATTGACCCCCCTGATCTATTTAGTAGATGGCGAATGATGGCGACATGGCCACTCCATTCGGGTGGTTTGAAACATATTCTATTTCTCATCCTGCTTGGTGAATAGAGTGTGACTGTAGCACGTGCATCTGGCCGCCGGCATAGTTCTGTCTGAGTGCTCATCATCCGAGTAGTCAAAATTGACCAATATTTTTCAGGGAAGTTAAAAAAGGTTGAAGCCACCATCCAGATCACATACTGTAGATTCACCATCTTCTCATATTTGTAGAAATGAAAATGGTAAACCCATGTGATATTCGTTTGATGATATTTGATGATATTTGGCTTCTCATCATATTTTGTGTTCATCTCCCACGTCCCCAAGGTGTTGGGTCATGACTCCATGCCCTTTGCGGTCCCCATTCGCATCCCGGACCCGGCGGCCTTTGGTGCATTGGGCTAGCTGCTGGGCTTAGTTCATGGGAAGATCTTGGAAGAATGAGGATGAAGAATCCAGCTATTTGAATTACCCTCTGGTTATTTAACATAGCCATGGAAAATTGCCCATTTATAGATGGTTTACCTATTAAAAATGGTGATTTTCTATGGCTATGTTAAATAACCAGATGGTATGTGGGATTAGGTTTTGGTTACTGTCCCTACTGACTTTGATGAGTCATCCCTTTTCTGTTTTTGGGTTAAGAGCAATCTGAGTTACGAGCGATAAGCCCACGAATATCTGCAATATCCCGTGCCCAAAAATTGAGAAAAAAAAAGCCCAGTGGCCCAGTTACGACCCAGGGCCCAAGGGCAATACGTCTGGCAGCTGGTAGTCGGGCACAAGAAACTGGCGATGTTCCGTTGCCACGACCTTTGAAGGCTTCAGAAGGACTTGAATGATCTTGAATATAGCGGGGAACCTGGCCCTGTAGTTGAGGGCTGTTGAGGGATTGTTTAACACTTCCAAGAGATTCGCGTCGATGTGTCAGATGAGTCAGATGAGGGCTGGTGTCCCAACTCACTCCTCCGGGATGTTCGAACCATGCCTGGCCTTCCAGACTTGGCCTCCGACCTACTCTAGATCAGCCGCTTGCGCCACTCGAGTGGCCAGATCACTTGGTGTTCAACCTCAGATCCTGTACCCTGAGGTCGTTCTTGACGTGAGGCATGCATTGTGTCCTGGATTTGGTGGATGCCTAGATTGATTTTCGCAAAGTTCGATGCTTGTTTTGCCCAAAGGCAGGCAATAGCCGCAAGCAAGACGCAATGCGACGGAAGAAAATGCCTTCTGAACATCGGTGTTTGCGGTGGCTGTATACTTGACCAGGCTACATTGACTGATACGTTACGTGTCAGATATGATGATGATTATGTGATGATTCCCATGCATCCTGGGTTTGCGTCCCATATTTTTTCTTGTCTAGCCCATACTTGGTTTCTACAGTGATGCGTGTACATCCGATTGGTTCCACAGACAATTTACTGGAAACCCCATGTGTTCGGGGAAAAAAACTTGTTTTCTGTATGTGTTCCCAGCATCCCAATGCATCCCACCTGCTTGTGACAGACAGCATCAATATCCAGAGATCAGAATTTGAGGCCCCGACCTGCTGATGGAGTTGCTGTGCCTCTCGGCTGGTGATGATGCGTTAGTTGGTGACCCGTAAGGCCGTAAGCCCACACCCATTGAGAATGCCAATGTGTCTTTGGCATGCCTTAGTTTGGCTGCCGTGGCACCAAAGCCAAGGTGTTGAATGAGGAGTCCTGAGAGCACAAACATATATAAACATACTATCATACTTGAGCAGCAGCAAGATCAGGCATTGTCATTGGTGCTTTGTTTAGATACTCTACATACATACATACATACGTCCATACATCCATACATCCATACATCCGTACATCCATACATCCATACATCCATACATCCATACATCCATACATCCATCCATCCATCCATACATACATACATACACCGTAATTATGTGGATAAGTTTATAGTTTGACTGTTATATAGTTTTAGTTATTTCATGTTATTGTTCAATTTCTTCAATTATTCATTATTCGTCCTCAAGTCTCATGCATGTAGAAATTGTCATAGAAGATTATAGAAGCACCAATGTTCTCTTACAAGGCCATATGGCAGTACAGTATTGCAGCGTTGGACTCGCCCGGCAAAGGTCAGGCGAAGAGTGGAGGTTCGGTGCGACTTTCCTGAGCCTCGAGAGTAACGACGACTGGAGTAGGGGGGCCCATTACATCCCATTGCTGCAGCCTGGGCACACGAAGACTTCCATTTACAGCAGATTCTTCCCTTAGACGTTAAGCAGATGAAACAAATCATTGGCAAACCGCATAGTAACAGGCCAAAAGAGGGACAAAGATGGAAAGGTATGGAAGGTTAAGGTCATATTTATTTATATAAGTTTATATTCATTCATTATATATATATATGTGTGTGTTTATTTATTTATTTATTTAATAATGTGTTTATATATATATATGTGTGTGTGTGTTTAATGTATTTATCTACATATGCCATAGCCTGAGTTGGATTGTTCCTGTTCCATTTTTTGTGGATTGCTAAAACTCAAAGAGACGAAACCATCCACATCCCACGTCCACCAAGGTGAAGAAAGAAGTGTGGAGAACGTTCAGCGCTCCGTTGGGTCGCCTAAGAACATTCAGTAAACTCAAAATTGCCTGCAGGGCTCAGTTTTTTTGTCATGGGGAACCATGGAAAACGAACCTTTGATGTGGAAAACCCACGGAAAACATGATAAAACATGTTCTTTTCTCATGTTTTTGGGTGATTATACAGTAGATGGAAAAAGGCGGCTGGAAGTCCAGAATTGTTTGATATTTTGAGGATAGAGCTAAAAAACAAGCTATTTAGCCATGGTTTTCTGTTTTTTTTTGGTGAAATGGTGTGAACAGTGCGGTTTTATATATGGAAGTGGTTGGGAGCCAGGGGACGGGCAAGCCCCCCTGAGGTCACGTTTTTGTCGCCTTCCCTACAGGGCACCCTGAGGAAAATCCCAGTTGACTGCGTTCACCTACAATAGATATGTCATATAGATAGATAATGATAGATAGACAGACAGATAGATCAATATCTACATATGTGGAATAGATATTAGATTATTAGATGATATTAGTATACATTTACCTATATTTACCTTACTTTTCAGGCATTTTAACTGTGGCGAAACCTTCCAACATCTTCCCACTGTTGGATGGTGCTGAGGCACGGCACACGGCGGAGTTGTTAGCCAGGTGACGCTGGTATGCAGAGTATGGTTATAAATAAATTCCATGGCACTAAGCTATATACATTCATATATGCATATATATATATGATATATGTGTGTGTGTGTTCCACTTACACTATAATATATTCCACATATATATCTACCCATACCTATGCATAGAATCCAAACAATTTGAGCATCAGTATCAGGATTTTGTATGATTTTATTGTCTCATTAGGAGCCATGGCTAGTTGAAAGCGAATAGCGATGAATAGCGAAGATTTTCGGAGGTGGTTTTCAATGTTAAATCAGCAGCTGATTTTCCTACAGAATATCAGGAGGAATTGTGATGGTCCAGTTTGAAATACAGCATCCCACAAACATATATATATACATATGGGTGTGTATATTAACATACATTGCATATAGATATAGAACTAGAACTACATTATAGAATCTAGGAAAATCCTTTCTCAGTATATTTCAGTGGAAATGTTTACTTCTCCATCTTTTTTGGGGGGGTGAAAAAATCTAGTGATTTTTCATTGGTTCACTGGGTTCACCATGTCCAGGACCCAGGACTTGGAAAAAAGTGCCAACAAATTTTTAGATGACTCCGTCCGGGACCCCAAGGGGCCCAAGGGGTCCGCCATGCTCGCAGCTGCTGCGAGGTGCAAAATGCAGTTCTTTCGCGAAAAAAAAACCATGGTCAATCAGAATCTGTGTCCTATTGAAATGGCAATCTTGCAATATCTTGGATATGTTTTGTTAGTCCAAATTTCAGACACGCCACTACTTCTCCATATGTGATTGACTTGTCCTTTTTCGAGATGTTGCAATTTGTGGATGGTTAAACCGGCACATCACGGGCCGATGAAGTTTGAGCTCTTCCAGGTCACTTTGCTCCAGAGTGTCAAGGGAAAGGTCCAAAGTGCCACAGACCAGACGAACTACTGCGCGCCTGGCGGCGAATTTCGTTGCAAGCTGTTGCCCAAAGCACCCCTGAGTTCAACAGCGATCAAAAAATTGCAATTTCCAACCCTGCAGGGCCGGAATCCGCCCTTTGGGAATTACATTCCAGATATTCAGGTTCCTAAGGGTCATGTTTCATCATTTCCAGCTTGCAAGTACATGCGCAGTTCCACGACAGGTATGCGTATGAACATGTCTCGACTTCTGCAGCAGAAGAAGGCCCTAGAGAGAGGTCTAGCAGAAAGCCTGGGGTGCTCAGATTTTCTAGCTGATTCTGTGGGGAGTCTCCGGACACCATGGGAAAATGACGACCCATCACGTGGTATAACTCGGGGTACTGAAACCGAATTATGAAACTCTCGGAACTTGGTTGGGGGCTGCGACCTGCTTCACCTATTTATGAAGGGTGAATGGTTTCCTACAATCTTGGCCGCTGATAAATAGAAGGTATAGCAATGGTATGCTAGAGCTAGATTCAGCTAGATAGATGAGATGATCTTCCCTGAGCTCATAAGCATCCGAGGTCAAGAAGATATCACCAAAACTGAGTCGCTGTTGGAGCAGATGCAGCGAGAAATTCAGGGTCAGAAGGCGTTTCGGCCTTGGACCAATGGAAGTCATGGAAGCTTTGGATGATGTTGCTGAATGTTGCTGAAACTTGGCAATAATGATGTGATGATTGAAGAACCGTTTTCTATCATGTTCTATCTACTGAATCTACTGCAGTTTGATATAAGTCTTGAAGCGCTTTGAAGTTCAAAGTGCTGCAGATCACAGAGATTCGACACGGTTCAGTTTAAAACATGCTTTTGAGGAGGCCACACAAGCGGGTCATGTTGGCTCAGTCGTTGGCTCAAGTATCCTATCAATCCTATCCCGGCGTTCAGAGACATGGCGGAGGATGCCAAAGTAGAGGAGAAGGATAACTTTGACGTGGGCCCACTGTCGGTTCTCCAGAAATGTGTGAAGGACAATTCACAGGCCCAGCAGCATGGATGACACTGATATTTCAGAAGAGATTCCTCAAAATTTAGGACTGGATATTATTATGGATATCCACGAACACTGTTTAAAAATGTCTAATACAAACCCTGGTGATGTCGACCAACCAATGGTTGGAACCACTCACACGCTGAGTACATGTTGGGAACATCCCCATTTGCACATGGACTTTTCTCCAACTTTCAGTGGATTCAGGAGGTTGGTTTCTTTTTCCCCCCGTTCACAACTAGAGTAACTATAGCTAGACTCCTTGAATCTTGATACAGTTCGATACATGATCTGGTTGGTGGTTTGGAACATTTTTTATTTTCCCATATATTGGAATGATCATCCCAACTGACGAACTCATATTTTTCAAGATTGTTCGACATTGCATAACGCCATATCTAATATATATATATGCTAATATCATATACATCAAGATTGTTAAAACCACCAACCAGTGTACCGTGATGTTGAGATGTTCCAGGCAGCCTTGGTTACCCTTCCATCGTGCCATATCGTGCCATACCTTGCCGCTGCCAGGTGCTCATCAATTGCCGCAACAACCGCAACTGGCTGGTGGTTTCAATCAGTTCCTTTTTTCCATGCCCAAGAGATGTATATAGATGGATGATCCAAAATTGAGGAGCAGACTTTTTTTCTGAGCCAACCAGCCTCATATTTGCCTATGAGTCTATGACGAACCATTTTTTTATTATTAGTTCAATTCCTTCGGCAGTTTGTTTTTGTTTATTAGTTGCATCGTGAAAATGCTGCTGTTTGTTGTTTGAAAGCCAGCACCAGGCAAGATTTTGGCACGCGTGAAGGCCTTTGACCGTCATTCCAACATGGTCTTGGAAAATGTGCGGGAGATGTGGACAGAAGTCCCTCATGGTGGCAAGAAAAAGGCCAAGCCAGTGAACAAGGACACAGGGTGGCAAGATATCAAGATAGAGGATTCAATGGAATTCAATACCATGCCTCTAGTTTCCCCATGTTTCCCCTAAATCCCAAAAAACAATGAACTGCCCTGTCATGTTGGACCACAAAATGGGTATGTGCACTAGTATTCACGTGTATTCACCACTAGACCGAGGAAAGCGTGATGCTTTGTATGGTTGAGATATCCGGTGAAGAGATTGGAGACCCCCAAGCAAAATTTGGCATGAACCCCTGCGGGTCCGAGAGAAATTGGAAGCTCATTTTGCAAAGATATGCAAAGATACTTGTTTGGGTTTCATGCTGGTTTCATCTGGTTTCCAAGTATTTTAACATATCCTAACGGACTGGACTGGAGGTCCCCAAACAAAAGGAGACCTTTCGACTGATTTTTGCCGCTAGGACCGCTTCATCAGCAAGATGTTCCTCCGGGGGGATTCGGTGATTCTGGTCCTGCGCAACCCCAAGTGACGAAGGGACCATCAGTGCCCCGTTGAGCGGCCACGAGAGCTATGAAGATATGACACCAGACCACGGGAAAAGAGGCCCATGCAGATAGCAAACCACAGTCATAGCATGTCATATAGCATAGCATGACAGTAGTCATCACATGTCACCATGTGCCAAGATTATTGGACCGTGATATTGCCGGTTCATAATCATGCGCGCAGTTTTATTGTAACCTTCAGACACTGGATGTTATCAGACCCTATTAGTCCCAAAGCAATATATTCGCCATATTCAACATTATTCAACATTATTCAACCATATTCAACCATATTCAACCATATTAAACCATATTAAACCATATGAAACCATCTAAGTTCGCCATAAAAGTTCGCCAATTCCCTTGTTTTATGCGGAGCATCTCCTTCCGCATCTTCCAATTTTTTGTCCGCCGAGGTCATTGGAGGACTGGGAGGCGGCTCCCGAAATCTCCTTGGATCGGTGTGGGACCTCAGAGGACCATGGCTGAATGGTGATAGCCATGGCTGATGATCCTTGAATGATGCTATAAAACACCTAAAAACAAAACTTAAATGCTGATTGGCGACATGTCTTGATATGTCTTGATGACATCCGGATGATTCATCATGATTCTAATGATTCATCATGATTCATCATGATTCATCATGATTCATCCATCACAGGCTATCACAGACCAAAATCGCTAAAATCTCAATATTCCATTCAGTTGAGATATAGTTATACATTGTTATACTATAGTTCAATATATTATATATCTATCATGATTACCATAAACCCGCTCGTAAATATGGGGATGAACAGCGGCTCGCGCCCGACATCCCGAGGCTGGATCAGCGCCTTCCCCTGGCTGTGCAGCAGGACGATGGAAAATGGAGTGCCTGGAATGGTGCTGCCCGCAGGGTGCTGCCCCCTCCCCAGTTTTGTTGTTTTATGAACATCATTAACCATAGAAATGTATAGAAACATCTGATATATCAACCATCAACCCCAGTGATATTATATATTTATATTATATTAAAACATATTAAAACTGTTAGTTTGATGATGTCCCAATGTTTGTCTCAGGCCTCGGATGCCTGCAGGACATCCGCCAGAGTGCCTTCGAGCGAATGCAGGACGGGGCCAGTCACTTCCCTGTTCATGAAGATAAGTTGATGTTATTTCCCCATTTAACATGTTGTTCGGAAGAGGTGGCGGATGTTGATTCCTCATGCAGATAAATTGATGTTATTTCCCTATTCAACATATTGTTCAGATTGCCTGTATGACAAAACACAAGAAAAACATAGAAAAAACGATGTTCTTCTTGATATGATGTTTTACTTTCGGTGATATGCTCATCTCATCTATGTAAGCCCTAAATCCCTAAAGCAGGGCACTTGACCCCAGGAGCAGGTGCATAATGCAAAGAGCAACGTTGGGACCTTGGAAGCCCTTGGAAGCCAGCGGCCCATGCCAGGCTTTTCCATGGCCTCAGTGTTGAATTCTGATGTGACGAATCATTGAGAAGTATATAGCTGATCTACTTAGCCATTGCAGAAATTCAATGTAATGAAGTGACCACTTAAATTTGGGGTCGTATAGAAAAAATCGACCAGCTTCATGGTTCTGTGGCTCCGATAATTTCAGGTTAGCATGCCTAAAGTTCTGGATGCACCTTCCATAATATCATCATGGTGTTTCAGTTTGTATATTGATGTGTTCAATGTATTAGACCTACAGTGTGCTACAACGTTTAGTTGATAAGTGTACTTTGCCAATAATTTGTTGGGTGTTGATTTATAAGTGGCATATATATATATAAATGTTATACAATTATACACACATAGATAATACATGATATGAGGCTGTTAACCTACAACATACAGCACTTTCGTGTGTGTTTTATCAGTGTATCCCCATCCCATTTCGCCATTTGACGTCATCACCCGTTTTGTCTCCCCGGCGGACTTAAGGTCCACGTCCTCAGCAACAAGTGCGAAGAGTCCAAGGACTTGTTGTTTGGGCCACTCAGGGGTGCCGCTGCCGGATGCTGGCAGTTTGCCCGGCAATGCTTTGCCATGAAAAAACCCAAGTTTGTTGCTTGCATCCCATTTTGGCATATTTTGGCTGCTTGTTTTTTTTTGGGGGGGCATTGGCGATAATCCCTAGGGAGATCCCAATTTGTTGAACTCATACTGATACTAATGATGAACATGGGTAGCATGATTAATTGCCATTAGTATTAACAAATATTAACATCAACATAAATTGATTTATCCCTCAACTACTGTTTTTTTTTTTCCAAAAAATCACCTCGCCCACTGCCCGAGGCATTCCCAGTCGGTTCCCATGGTTCCCATGGCCCAAGGTCCAAGCTCCGCGAGTCCTCCGCCGAGCTCCAAGAGCATTTGAGCGCCAAGACGGTGGGACGTTTTTTTGGGGCCACGAGGTGACAGTGGTTGGTGCCATAAATTAAACATCCACCAGGCTGGTGCCATGGAATCAACATAGCAGATATTTTGATGTGGATATTGAGAAGATTTATGATTTATCATGCTTCGAACATATTGGAAACTATAGGTGGTTGTGATATGTTGTGATGTTGAACTTCACTCACCGGAAGCAAAAGAAGGTCTTGCAGGCTTCTCATGTGGCACCTGGCAATGTTTAGCATTCCAAAAATAAATTGAACAATCGGCCACAACATGAAACTGCAGCAGGCTTCGTGGAGGATCGACTTGTTGGAAGCTCAGACCGTGGCAGTGCAGCTGTTGACACCCTCGTAGCCGAGGGAGTCACCAGAGAGCCGTTCCAGCCATATGTCTTTGGTTCTCTCATCATCGCCAACTACAGATGGAAACTCGTCAAACATCCTTTCTGAACTGAATTTTCGGATTTAGTGGCTACAAAGTATGCTTGTCATAAATCCGATTGACAATAGCGGCAAGCATCTCAATCATCCCATTAGCCATATTCTTAATTATTAATTGTTCCATATTGTTCCTGGGGGAGATGAAGGGATTTTCCCTGGTATACAAATCCTATATAGGTATTTTGAGGGAGATTGTATGATATTGTTATCTTGGGCGAATTGCGGGCAATCTTCAACTGCATCTGCCAGATCCTCTTTCCAATGAACAGTGACGCCCTTTTTCAGGCAATGCGCCAAACTGAAAAGCAGTGGGAAGGAGACTTCGAGATCACAAGCGTCCAATTCGAAGGATTCCTTGTTCGTGGCAGGGACCTGAGATGCTAATCAATGGATGTTTGAAACAACCCCCAGCAATTCTGTAATTTTCAGTTGATGGATCAACATGTGATTCAAGAAGGAAAGAGAGACTGGATGAGGCGTGTATTTGACCAAGCCGAGGCACCCTCGCCGGTGCGGCTGTCCAAACAGACGTTGGAAATGCCCCTTGGTGGCACCTGTGAGGCCTTCAAGGTGCATGGAGTCCAGAACCAAAAAACTTAAGAAAAGGTGAACTCGACTCTGCTACAATTTTAGGTGACTCTTGAAGTGAAAGATGTTGGATTTTTGGTTTAGCTAGTGGGACAATGTGGGACAGATGCATTCGTGTGGCCATTCTAAGTCGGTAGATCAGGATGGGAAGGGTTGTTTTCATGTTTTTTCGGAGTCCGCCAAGCATGGACGCCGTCCCAAGCGTCAAGGATTCGCTGCAAGATCAACACTGCGGCGTACGAAGGACGGTTGGGGGGGGGACTCCCGCCAAAGATCTGTAGGTTTGAACACCGAGGGTACCCTCAGCATTAGTGTCTCGCACTGGCACCTACGAAGCCTAGCCTACCCCTTTTTTTTGGTGATTTTCTGGCCCCCAAGCCAGGAAGATCTCCACATTGCGGTGTTTTTAACCATTGGGTCCATGCAGCACAGGACCTCATGGTCAAGGCTTTGATGTGATCTTCAATCGCTATGATCAGGCCAACCAACCAGCATTGAATTATGGTCTTGGGATGTCTTGGGGCAGCCCACACTCAGGGCTCCAGCGCCAGGCTACATGTTCAAAGGAGTGCTACCAAGTGTGCAGGAAAAAATGTTGCTGCCTGATGTTTATGGGATGGTAAACCTTTCCAAAAACTGAAAGCTGTTGGTTTTCCTGATTTTCCCATCTTGGTCACTGTTACCCAAAAAAACATCAAAAAACAATAACAACATATTAATACATATTAAACAAACATAATTATATACACAGGCCCATACATTTTATAGGCCCATGATTATCTACAGCTCAAAAATAGGCCCCATGAGGCCCAGGGGCCCTGTGCCAGGATGGTTCCGGCTGCCTCAGTGCTCGCGAGGTGCGCCGTGCCCTGAGAAGAAGTTTGAGGCACGGCCAGGGTGCAGCATGCAGGGGATGGCATGCCTTGGGGTTAAAAGGCCAGACATGGAGATAGAAATGGAGTTACCATGACTTAGTATGACTAAGTCTAAGACTTTGGTAAGAAAAAATGAAAGCTGAGACCATTAATCATGCAGAAAAAGTGACATGGAACCTGATTTGAAGTGATGGACACAGGATGTCAGCTTTGGTTTTGGAGCCGCACTGGTACGCGGCACAACTAATGGACAGGGGAGTGTGACCAGCAAGTGAATGTAAGTCGTTTGTCTAGGGTCACCTGTCAAGGCGACAGCTATGCGTTTGGAAGTCTCAAGGGCTCGTCGTTTTGTCTACCCTACCAACTACCAACGATCCCGTTTTTGATACCCAATGACTTGAGACAACAGTGTACCCATACAACGGTTTTGCGGACGACCCGACCTCCACCCGTTCACATGAAATTGAGCACTGATTATGGTGATATTTCCCAACGGGGGCGATCTTTGAATCCATTAAAACTTTCCGGTCAAATCACCATGTTTGATTAGATTCATGAAAAATTGCTATAATGTATGCTATTTTGCATATTTTGCCCGGTAAATCATCATATCATATCATCATTAGATCATCATTTAAGTTGATGATTACCCTCTGGTGAACTAACATAGCAATGGAAAATCACCATTTTTAATGGGAAAATCCACTATAAATGGCCATTTTCCATTGCTATGTTAGTTTACCAGAGGGTACCCAACCAAAAAAATCGAAAAAAAAAAAAAAGGAAAAAACACAACACGAATCCGATGTGAGGATCCCAGGAAACTCCATCAGTGACCGGCAGATCTTTTCCTTTTGCGCCTGGCCAGGGATGCCCAGTGGATGCCATGGGATGACCCATGGGGATGCCATCAGAAAGCTATGGAAATCTATGGAACATCACAATTCCAAATAGTTAAGTCATGTTAAGTCAACTGTTTTGTGGTCATGAATTTCATTTATATATATAATTTCCATAGCTGTGTTGGAATACCAGAGGGTATTAGAAAAATGATTGCTGAGTGTTAATCATGATCCATGGCTAATGGGTACCAACAAGAATTGATATGGAATCAACCAATGGATGCAACTTTTTTAATGTTGGCAAAGTGGTAATGTAATGCCATAAACCACCCATATATGGCATGACCCCAAAAACTGAAAAATGTCATTGGTAAGTCATTGGTAGGGTGGGAATGGTGGATCCTATTGAGCCATGTCTGAGAGGCTTTATTGTTGGCTTTGCCACATCCATGATTTTTTGGGGTAGAACGGTAGAACCCCCCAAAGTTCCAGACACCCCCAAGGTTGGATGTGGACGGCTCGGGCGCAGTGGAAATCGATGAGCTGGTCGCGTTTCTTGGGCGTGGGGGGCTTAGAAGGCGGAGGCTTTCGCCCGAATTGGTTTGAGGGCATGCCTGGGAAAAAAACACTGTAGACTCCGTCAGTTTTGGATACCCTCTGGTAAACTAACATAGCCATGGAAAGTCACCATTTTTAACAGGATTTAATAGGTAAATCAACATAAATCAACCATAAATGGGCCGTTTTCGCTGTGTGAAATTACCTTTTTCGAGTTGACGTTCGTGTTGAGGCCCCGAAGCTTCCAAGATGACCTCGGAGCGCAAGTGCCGCAACGAGGTGGCAATATCACATGGCACCTGTAGTTCGATGTTTTAAGCAGATTTAGAAACTAAATTCAAGATGATACATACTCATACATACTCATTTCCCCATATATTCCCATATATTCCCATATATTCCCATATGTTTGCCATATGTTTGCCATAAACCCTGGTAAGTAGCTCTAAACCAACCCCTCCATTGTGGCCGTTTCCTGCTCGCCTCAGCTGACATGTCAGGTGTCCAACCGATCTTTCGAGCTGGACTGTTTCGTCCAGTCTCCCTGTGGGATGATGGCTGGATGTGGTGATGCCACAGGGCCACGGGGCCACGGGGCCACGGGCCAACCATTGTTGACGGGGCCCCCATCCCCATTCATTTGAAACACCCCCATTCTATGGTCTCAAAATGTCTCGTTTTATCGGGGTGAATCATGGTAAATCATGACAAATCTCCTGCTCGTGGTTTCTTGGTGGTGTTTATTATGGGGAAGGGATTACTTGGCAACCAGGGACAGAGATATTGCATGAGGAATGTGACATCAAGATTCTGCAGCCAAATATTTGGCGAAGCATTTGACAGAGGGCTGACAGAATTGTGAGCCCACCCTGAACGAAGAAATCAGGTCACACCACGGAAGAGCCAGCTCAGCAACCAGAAGAAGCCCAGCAATCGCTTGTTCTGATGCTCAGATCTGCGCCACTGGGAAGAGCCAGGGGTCAGCCATTGGAACACGGAAGACAGTTTATCCTGAATTTCCCAAATCTGTCCAAATATTACTATATATTACTATAATATATATATATATAGTCAGTAGTTAATGAAATATGATATATATATATGTGTGTGTGTACATATACTACTGCATCAATTCAAACATTGCCATGTTAATTGGATAAGATGTCTTCCAGGGCTTTGTAGTCCATGCTTGAGTTGTCGACTGATGGCTGAGGCCATCTCTGAATAAGCGAATGCTCAGCACGCTTCGATCCAAGATTAAGGTACCAGTGGTTGAGTCTCCAAGTGAAGCTGTTGCTCTGGCATAGGAAGGTCCAAATCGGACCCCAAAACGTGGAAGTCCTACATGAATTTTTCCCCATCTGCCAGGTGAGGGTCTCTAGATTTTAACAAAGGTGCAACTCCTTCTGCTTCTCCTTCTCCTCTTCCTTCTCCTCCTCCTCCTCCGCCTCCTTTTCCTCTTCATCTCCTCTACTGCGGATGCAGTGGGCCATGCATATCGCGAGCAGTGGATAGCATCTGGGCCCGAACTCCAAATCGCCAGCCCAGGATGCTGTGGCCTGGGCCCGAACTCATGCCAGAGAGAATGCCAGATACAATGTCAGAATAGATGCCAGACAGAATGCTTGAAAAGATGCCAGATAGAATGCCTGAAAAGATGCAAGATTTAAAATGCCAGTAGAGACGCCAGAAAGAATGTCAGAATAGACGCCAGATAGAACGCCAGAATGAATGCCTGAATAGATGCCAGAAAGAATGTCAGGATGCCAGATAGAATGTCAGATAGAATGTCAGAGCATATGTCAGAAGGAATGTCAGATAGAATGTCAGAAAATGTATATCTATAATTATGCCATATATACTTCCAGATGGCACTCGTATGTCAGAAACTATGTCAGGTGTGGGATCACCCGAATAATGTTTTTAAAGCAGCGAATATATGTTTATTGATTTGCAGATTGCAGATTTTTGAAAGAGGTCATGAAGCCCGCATTCCCTTCCCAGCTGGCAGCATCAGCCGTTGCAGTTTTGCCAGGCAGCCTCATACGCTGGTCAACTGGGATGTGAAGTGAAGGTCGGCACCATACTGTACCCTGTTGCAAGTGGTGTGTGAGCAACAAACACCATGCAAAGCCCTGCCATGCAATTGGAAACCTGGGTCGGTGGCCGGCAAAATCCTGGCATGGCGGAGGCCATGTTCTCCCGCTTCGACCACACAGGTTCTGGAGTCCTGGAGGCAACGGCCGTGAAGCCAGGGTGGAAGCAAAGTCGTGCAGGTTAGGCATGACATGCATATGGAGGTTTCTTAAGTCACCCCAAACTATCCAAGTCATGGATGGCCATTTCAGTATTGAAACCCGTGGTGACTTGCGGATACCCCATTTTAATCAACCAGATCCATTAACGATCCGTTTGGACACACACATGTGGTGTCTGTGACTATGGGGAATAAGTTGCCACCACTCCTCTTTGTACCAAAGAGATATGTGTTGAAGCACTTCATAGCCTGATCTTGGCAAGGTTTGAAACTCTTATGTAGAATCACTTTGATCAGAGGAATCATCAAATCTGGAAGCTAGGGTTACCTTGGTATAGTGGGAAAATCATGGAAAATCTCAATTGGGAAAATGATTGTCAGCCAGTGGGTTCAACGATTTTCAGACAAACTAAAATCACAATTTGTTGGTTAAAGCACAATATACCTTCGGCAAACAGTTTGCCGTGGGAGCCCCCATTGAGTTTGCCAGGAAGAGCAACTGCGACAGGTCTTCCGTCGAGCCATGAGGCCCGAGATGAAGCGATCCGTTTCGGTGTCGTCATGGTGAAAAGTTGGTTGTATACCCAGTCCTTGGGGCAATGGTCATCAATCTATTTTCACTTCGAGATTGACCCATGATTCATGTGTGGATTCCCATGGATGACCATGAAAAACCTATCATAAAACCTATCATAAAACCATATTAATCAATATCACATAGCCAGGTTTTTTCAACTTTGCATGCTTCGACATGGTGAACGGTTCATTGCTATATTTACCCAGTGGTATCGGTTCATACCAGATGATGATTACTATCATCCCTGGCAATCCCTGGCAGCAAAATGATGGTGAAAAACATTGGTAAAAAGTGTCATGAAATGCGGAGGGATAGAGGAAAAAGGATGGGCCAACATCACATCTAGTACCAGCCATGTGAGCTGGGATAGATCCAACACATTTAAATTGTGCACACCTATGGTGGTAGAACTTGGTTTTTTTCATGCTTCGTTTTTGCCAGCAAGGGGAGTATACTGTACTATCCACATCGGAATTCCCAATCATCAAGTGGCAAACCAGCAACATACCCTTTCATTCAATATGATTTACCTTTTTTTTACCCTACTATAAAGACGGCGGTTGTTCAACAGTTCAGCCATTGGTTGTGACTCAAGCGGTTGCCACCCTTTTATCATCGTCGGGGATGATGCCCAAATTGCACCCATGGAGATGTACAGCCAGGATTCCACCAAAAGTGATTTCAGATGAGCAGATCTCCAAGCCCGGCCCTGAAAACTCCTTAGGCAACTGGTGACCGAGTCAGAAAGATTCCCAATGATGGGTGGCAAAGAGTGTTTATCCTGGAAAAACAGATGTATAGAGTTTGTTACTATAATATACTATAATGATCTATAATGCATATCTACTATATCTATATTATATATCTATTTGTATATACATAAACTATAAACATATACTACTGCAAGTGGCAGGGGTTCGTTAAAAAAAAACTGCAGATTTCAATCTTGCGCGCGTTCAATCTACAAAGGGAAACAAATGGTAAAAGGGGGAAACTAGGACAGGACAGGTTGGAGGTGAGGTGGGAGGCTGTTATGTTTTTGTTCAATATTGTAATCTGAAATGTTTGACTGTTTCTTTTTGATTATCCTGCTAAATGTTTTGTTGAGGTTGTTGTACTAATGCTTGGGTGCTATGATTTTATGTTGGTGTTCATGTTCGTTGGTTTTGATGTTTTTTCCTGTGGGGGTTCTGTTCACTTCATTGTTTGGATTGAATGAAGGGGATAATTGTTGAGGTGGTCAGAGTTTCTATGTGTAGGTTCAGGTTCAAACTGTACCAAGCTGTTGTTCAAAGATGTCGAATGTTGTGCTTCAAATTCATGTATTGATTGAGCTTAGGCGCTGTGGTTCCTGTTTGGTTTTGCATATCAAGCATCCTTCAATACCAAAGCCAGTTTGGCACAAATTGACTGAACCGATGCATTGTCCTTCTTCTTCGACATTCCGCAGATGCATCTTTGTGAGGCAGGTTGAGCTTGCGCCAGGCCGGTTCGTCCTTCCAAGTGGTCATGCACGAACACAGCCCGCAAGGGCTTTTCCGGCGCAGACCGTTAAAACTGGTTGGACTTTGTTGAGCACAGGGAGCATCTTAGTGCTGGTTCTCCAAGCTCTCATTCAAAGGCTCCTTCCTGGTTTCTTCATGAACAGGGCAGTGAGGAAGACTGGGCAAAGGCTGGAAAGGACACAGCCCGCCCCTGCACGGCCGGTCGAGGAGGAATACATCAAGGACTTCATTAATTCACCTCAAGGTAAAACTTTGAGCACCCTTTCCTTCTTGGTGGTCAGTGGTTCCCAAGGCATTGGGAAATCAACCATGCTGAACAATCTCATGTGTGAGCATGTGAAGAATGGCAAAAATGTGCTTCCTCTTGATATTTCTGTTCGTCCTGGTGAGGACTTGAAGCTGAACGAGGCGCTACCCCAAGCGTTACAAGCCGTAGATTTGCCCCGATATTACCCGTCAAATGTCAAATTTTTGCTGGAACGGGTGAATGAGACGTCCAAGCGCCGAACAGGCAGTGCCGTCGTGGTATACCTGCAACTCACAACCAAAAGCCGCGGAGACAAATTTAGCAGGGATGCCTGTGATGACATTGCTTCCACCCTCGGTGCCTTCGCTCGCAACGTCACCTACGACAATGCCGCGTGCAAGTTCATTTTGGAGGTCAGCGTGTCTGCAGTGGCAGACATCATCAAAGAAAGGTTTAACATGTCAGATTTGGTGGTAGTGCGACCACTACCTTTCGAAGACTTCACGTCTGTGGTCAAGGAGGTGGCGAAGCAGGGAAACAACTTCCGGACGCTGAACCAGGTTCTTGCCGAAGATGACATGGAGCAGGTGTTCAAGCACTATAGGTGCGAATCCGGTCATCGAGCAGGTTGAGCAGTGGTACAACCGGAGGGTGGAACCAATTGAAAAGAAATTGGATGACCAGGAAGTGAAGGACTATCTCCTCAAGGTGGCTGAGGCAGGACCCATGGGGTATCTCCCAAACAGCAAGCAGACGACCCAAATGACTTTGAATCTTCTTCGTGAGGAGCCAGCAGACTGCGTCCTGAGGAGTACAACCAGTGAAACTGTGGCTTTGAAGCATTGGAATTTCGTCGCCAAGCTCTTTGAAGAGGATGAGCAGAAGTTGAGGGATGCAGGATACATGTGAGCTTCGCCGGTGAAAAAAAACTGTGGCGCTTGAGATGTTTTGTGGGTGAGTCATCCAAGAGTAATTTTCACCTATTGCATGCATAACCGCAGATACCCAACCCTAGTATCAATGATACCCAGATACCAGTATCTAACTATCAACGATGCCCAAAATCTAGTATCAATGATAGCCAGATTATCAACGATACCCAGAGCCTAGTATCAATTATACCCAGATAAAGTATCCAAGTATCAACCATACCCGCAACCTAGTATCAATGATATCGTCATACCAGTAGCCAAGTATCAACGGTACCCAGAACCAAGTATCAAGGATTCCCTGATACCAGTATCCAAGTATCAACGATACCCAGAACCTAGTATCAATTATACCCAGATAAAGTATCCAAGTATCAACGGTTCCCAGAACTGAGTATCAATGATACCGTGATACCAGTATCCAAGTATCAACCCAGAACCGAGTATCAATCATTCACCGAACAAGCAACAACAGACAAATCATTTCACCCTGACCTTTTTAGCCAAACTACCGTTACATAAAGTATTGTAAGAACAAGCGGGAGTGGTGGTTTCCTCAAAACGATTGGACTTATACATTCAGAAATAGGGAGTTTAAGGTAAAAGACATTTTGGATATACAGTATTTTTGCGTGAATACACCGAAGAACTTTTCAATGGTTATGAAACATATTTTAATGTAGAATAAATAAAAGAGTATCTACAAAAAGTGGTAGATACTTCAAGAAAAAATAACTATATATAATAAGAAATGCCAATGATTGGAGTTGGTGAAGAGGAACTGAAAAGAGATAGAGAAAGATTAATGAATTTCATAAAAGAAAATCCTTATCCATTATCCTAATTATAAATTCATAGAATATGACCTACTACTTAAGCAAAAAAAACTTTAGAGCAATACGCAGAGTATGGAGAGATAAACCACGACCTTATGAAAGAAATTTATGAAAACATATTTGATAAAGATTTAATCAAAAAACACGGTGAGAGGATACACCATAGAGGAGGAATGACAGCATTACAACAAAACTATTATGCACTATTGTCAGTGTTGGGATACTTGATTGACCAACGAGGACTTGATAGAGACACAATCATTTTAGTGTTCTACAACATCAAAACGATTGTTTCTCAATGTTGGGATGGCATAGGTAGTGGTGATGAAAAGTGGAGATATTAAACCTGATGATTAATTCATAATATCTTAATAAAATATATTATGAAGTAATCTTTAAGACCCAGAAACCCATTTAAAGAAATAGCCCCATAAAACTTTAATGAGTGAAAATCAAGATAAGAAATGTTCAAAATGTAAAAAGACACAAACTCTGGAAAACTTTGACAATGGAAAGGCGTTATGTCAAAAATGCTATGAATATAAACAACAGTATAGAGAAAACCATAGAGAAGAATTGCGACAAAAAGAGCGGGAACGCTATGAACAATACAAAGGAAAAAACTTGAGAAACAGAAAGAAAAGGTTGAATGTCCCATTTGTAAGATTGACATTTCAAGAAACAAAATGCAAAGACACGAAAGAACCCAACGACATAAAAACAACCTGAACAAACCTTACCCAAAACAAATAGAACAACAAAAGAAAACTGAAGAAGAAATGAAACGAATATATAAAACATCAAGAAACCATAGACTACCTCAACGCAACATTCCCTCATATCCAGATGGTTAAACCCCAACAGTCTAAACAATTATCCCCCTCATCCAAACACAGAAAGTCCCAGAAAAGTTAGGGACAAAAAATCCCCAGAACATACAACACATAAAACATCAAACGTAATGAACAAACATTGAATATAAACCTAAAAACCATAACAACCAACATAAACCCTTGGGATGTCCTAGCATCCCCCTTTTACCAGTTTTTTAAGGGACATGCGCAATTATTGTCGGAAATACTGACAACCTCAAATCCCATAATGTTTACTCCAAACATTGTTTATTGCATCAACAGGAAAGTCGAGGGTTCCTCAATTTTGTTCCATGAGGCTGTGCACGATACTGGACAAGGACAACTCCGGCGTTGACGACCCAGAGATTTGAACTTGCAGAGGAAAAGGGGATGCCATGATGCGACACCATGTGCCTGTCGCCGACACCACAGAAGCATCATCATCATCATCATCATCAGACTCAACAGGTCGTCGCAATTGAAGCCTTGGTGGACTTTGCCGTGACCTTGGGGGGTGGCCAGGGATTGGAAAGTTGGTGAAAAGTGTTGCAACATTGATTCCGTATGGTTTATATCACTCTTAACATCTCTTAGCTAAAAATTAAATTGGGTTTGCATGGGTTTGCCCAGCAAAAATGGGACATCAGCCTGATCAGCCAATATTGGCAACTTCAATCAATGCTGATAGCGTCATCAGGATTACCAAACCCATGGGTTGTTGAAATTAAGGAGCCCAGCTTCGTGTCAAATTATTTGCTTTGGGAGGCAGGCCCTCCAACCAAACAAGATCTTGTCAATCCTCGCTTGGTAATGTTGTCTGACCAATAGTGATATCTTGTCAATGGTAGAAACATTTTTCCGCAACTCCAGTTTTATCTCCAATACTAAAAGTCAATTAGCTCTATTTACTTTTAGTATTGCCAAAAGAGTCATGTTCAGACCTTGTCCAGAGGGCATGGCCAATAGTGGAACCAACATGGCAATAGTAGAAACTTTTTTTCCAACTCCAATTTTTTCTCCAATACTAAAAGTCAATTAGCTCTATTTACTTTTAGTATTGCCAAAAGAGTCATGTTCCAGAGGGCATCCAGACATATTCCCATCAGAAACTAAACCAAACCCATACAGAATCTAACAGAAACCAACCCTAATCCATGCAGAACATCTCAGAAATCTAACCAAACCCTATCCAGAATCTAACAGAAACCCAACAAAACCATGGAGAATCTATCAGATACAGTAATTACATATCATGATCCCAGCTATAGATTCCCACAAATTATTATAGGAAGGTTGACCGCCCCTAAAATATTTTTCAAAAAAAATAAAATTTAGGGGGGGGTAATTACTATTAGGCAGCCAACATTATTGCCCATGGTTGGCCGGATTCCAAGTACAAGTATCATGAAGAATCATGAAGAATAAAGTCTTCTCCCTATATCTCCCTATTACTAAACGTACCCCAGATTATGGTCCCGCCCGAATGTTTTTTAATGTTTTTCTACTTGCGTTGTTCAATTGTGGCCATTGAAACGCTAATAGGAGACCAGAGTACCCACAAAATGTGATTCAGCCCCTAACAATATAGAAACTAATCAAGCCTGGGGTGCTTATTGTTGGGGTCCACCTTTTGAAATGGAACACATTAGTTTTATTTCATTGAGGTTTTGATCTTATTATCAGGTGAAAGCTTTGAAATCCAATTTTGGCGATACTGTATGTTATACTAGTGTCGAAACACTGGCAACGAAACCTACCCACTGGGGCATGCACTCGGACCTTTTGGCCTGAGATGAAAGTGTCCTGCGGAATCGTTCCCATGATCTTCTGGATAGCTCGGATGAGCACTCGGTATGCGAATGGGCTAGAGGATGCTGGGAGACCTTGACATTAACACTCCTATCAATCTCTGCAATTGAAAATTTGGAGGACCATGTTGGCAGCAAGGTTTGACTACCATGTTTCACAAGTGCTCATTTATATTGACGGACTTCGGAAGTCCCTGGGAACACTGGGCTCTGAGTCAGGGCTGGGCCAGTAACCAGTCGGCCAGTCGGTCACAGAAATGCAAATAGCGGGTCAGATCCAAAAGGCGGCCCTCTGCGGTATTGGAGGGGCCATGCACCACTTCTTATATCCAACAGCTTTCTCATCTTTACGCTCAAGGAGATCATGATATGGTATGCCACAACCCTTATACTGACCCCAAGTGATCGGTGCGGCCCCACTGCTCAACACTCAAAAACGCTCGGGGGCAATGTGATCTTTCCACCTGGAGACTCGCTGGACTTGGGCACATATGGCACTTCCATGTCAGGAGTGTGGCCAGGCATCAGCTCACTGGAACTGGCATGCGCATTGATTCCATAACCTGCTTAAGACAACTTCTCAGGACCCTGGGGATCCTCCTTCACAGGTGAGCATGCACGACGTTTGGCACCATCAGTCATAGCGCCGCACATCGATCCAGTCACTAGAGAAAAGTCCTACGCCATTCACCCCTAACAGAATATGCCAACTTACATTGAAAGCTTCACTTTCCTTGAGACGGCTGAGCAGTTGAAGCTGAGTCTATACGTTGTTTTCTGCGCTCACGCTCATCGGCCTGTTGCTGCAAAACTAATTCCTCAGGTGAGATCTGATACTGACCGTGCCACAGGCATGACCTTAAAAGGTGAACAGGATCCATCTTGTTCTTCGTGAGTCCGTCGGCAAGCATGCGGTTGGTGTGCAACCAACGGACAGCTCCACAGGTGGTGAACAAGGATTCCCTGATCATGACTACATCGATATTAGTGTGCCTATCATCAATTGATATTGGGGGTGAAGGTGATATCAAGTGATCATAAAAGTGACTTACAGTCAGTTGCGTATATGGGTGGTCGTTGTTTCAGCATTCCATGTGCGTCTCTAAGTTCATAGGGGTCATGCAAAACTTTCAACATGAGGAGGGTAAGCCATTCTACCGTTCCACTGGCTGTGGACATGGCCTGCGCTTCACCTTCACCACCCAAAGCTGAGCTGAACTCACTACCCTTGGCAGTCGGTAGCTAATTACGCCATACTATACTGCAGGATTCCAAGGAGACGGCAAACCATGATGGATGTCACGATCAGCAAAAGCCAAAATATACCCCGCCTGAGTATGGGCTCCCACATTTGCAAAAGCAGCATCGGAGTGACAATTACATCTTTATGTTGTTTGGCACGTCGAATGGCGTTGTTTGCTTCTTTGAGGTGACCTATGGTAGGGTTTGGAAAACATTGTTGACTGGGGCTGGTCTGTACTG